AGTGCGTTTTGGGTGGTATTTGGATATTAGGTCGGTGATGTAGTTTGGGGCGGTAATATAGACAGCTTTGCACGTCAGTGTAAGCATTTTGAATTTGATCCGTTGGGCAATCGGAAGCCAGTGGAGGGATTGGCAGAGGGGGGTGGTGGAAACAGAGCAGTTGGTAAGGTGGATGAGTCTGGCTGCCGTATTCAGGATCGACTGAAGCGGGGATAGTCTGTGGTGAGGGAGGCCAGTGAGGAGTTGCAGTAATCGAGTCGTGATATGATGAGGGAGTGCATGAGTTGTTTAGTGGTTTCTGGGGTTAGGAATGGGCGTATGTTGGCGATGTTGCGAAGGTGGAGTCTGCATGAGTTTGTTAGCGATTGGACTTAGGGCAGGAAGGATAGATTGGAGTCAAGAGTGACACCAAGTACTCTGGCTTGCGGGGTGGGCCTGATGGTGGCATTGTTGGACGTGATGGAGAAGTCAGGGGGGGGGGGGCTGGGGGGAAAACTAGGAGCTCGGTTTTGGAGAGGTTCAGTTTAAGGAAGTGTGGAGTGACATCCAATCTGATATGTCGTTCAGCAGGCTAGTGATTCGGGCAGAGACTGAAGGGGTGAGGCGAGGGGTTGAGAGATAGACTTGCGTGTCGTCGGCATAGAGGTGGTAGTTGAAGCCGTGAGAGTGTATCAGTTGGCCAAGGTAGGAGGTGTAGATGGAGAAGAGAAGGGGCCTGAGGACAGAGCCTTGAGGGACCCCGACAGGGAGGGGGGGAGAGTGAGGGGGAGGTGGCAGTGTTATAGGTAACGCCGAAGGAGTGTTGTGATAGGTAGGACGAGAGCCAGCAGAGAGCAGAGTCTCTGAGGCCGAGGGAGTGTAGTGTAGTTTGTTGAGGAGGAGGGGGTGGTCGACTGTGTCGAAATCCGCGGAGAGGTTGAGGAGTAGGAGCACTGAATAGTGGCTATTAGCTTTGGCAGTTAGCAGGTTGTTGGTGAATTTAAGTAAGGAGGTTTTGGTGGAGCGTAGGGGACGGAAGCCGGACTGTAGGGGGTCAAGGAGGTTAATAAATAATTGACCGCGCTCTAATATTACCGTGCCAATACTATATATTTAAACAATACCACTAATTCATATGTACTGTAACAATATCAGCTTATCAACTGCATTACCTAAATTAATCTAATTATATTGCCTAATGTTTGGTAAAACTTAAAAATAAAAGGTGTATGATTAAATCCAATAATGATGTTTTTACAATGTAACTATCTCATTAAAAATAAATATATAAATTCATAAAATTCACTGTGCGAATGTGAAAATCACAAAAAAATTTTGAATAAAAATTTATAAATTCATAAAGTCCAATGTGCAAATGGTGCAAAGCAAACAATAAATTATATATATATGTGAAAAATAAATAAAATAATAAAGATGGTTAAAAAATATAAATTCATAAAGTTCAGCAGCAAAAATGTGCAAAAAAGAAAATGTGCAAAAAAAGTTTTTAGGGTTCAGCAGGGAGAAGATGCTGGTAATATACTCTCCTTTCAAGTTGCTTGTGATGATATGGATGGAATCCTACGAATTGTCTTCTGAGCCTATGTAGACATGAGGATTTCTCCCTCCTAGAGCCTCTCCTCACTCCAATGCTCAATGTATCCTCATATGACCCATAGAAGAAAGAAAATGAAAAATATGGTGCCTTATCCAAGGTATAATAAACACTGTTTAATGTGCTCCCATATTGCACTCACATTATTTCAAAAATAAGCACGGGTCAAGGAGGTTGTTGTCGTTGAGGTGGGAGCTTAGACGGTTGTAGATTAAGCGCTCAAGGAGTTTGGATGTAAATGGCAGCAGGGAGATGGGTCTAAGGTTGTTCGGGTCAGTGGGTTCCAGGGAGGGCTTTTTGAATATGGGAGTGATGTGCGCGTGCTTCAGACGGGAGGGAAATGCGCCAGAAGAGAGGGAGAGATTAAAGATGTGGGTGAGGGAGCGTAGGATGGAGGAGGAAGGAGGTCGTAGGAGTTGTGAGGGGACAGGGTCGAGGGGGCAGGTGGTGGGGCGGGCTTCAGAGAAGACCTTAGTGACCTCGGTGGTAGTAAGGTCGAAGGAGTGGAGTGTTGAGGGGGCTTCAGTGTGAGGGATGTTAGGTGGGGTGGAGGTCTGAACAGTGGTGAGGCCAAGGGAGAGGGCTGAGAATTTTGGGAGAAATTTGGGAGAGGGAGAGAATTTTGGGCTGTTGCGCTGTTATTTATGCACAATACTGAAGTTTTGGTTTGGCACCTTATGTTGCCTTCTGTTTAACAGTAACTTTGCTTTGCAGGTGTTACCTTTGCACAAGTTACTTTAACACATTTGAATTTTTTTGAATTGCCTCAATATGTGCTGTAAAAGTAGACCTGAACTGTATCTGAGCACCACAAACTGAATTCACTATTTTATTCATTTTTAATATTCAAAGCAAACTCACCTATCCATCCATGTCTCCATGTGTTATTTTGTTGAGAAATCGCTTTGAAAAATGCCCCCCTAGCATTTCCAGCCATGGCCATCTTGAGTAAGGACAGATGATTCATATAGCATTTAACTACTGAAATTCTTAGGCCTATCATGCAGGCAGGAGGGTGTGCACAGTTGAGAAAATCTCTCCTCCCTTCCTCCAGATGAAAGACAAAAATGCCCATGAAGACTCCTGGGATGTATGACATCATTTTGGTCTAGGCCAGAAATCAGGAAGCAACTGAACAAATGAAAAAAAAAAAAAAAAAAAGAAAGAAAAAATTTAAAACAAGTCAATGTAATATACTTTCCTATCTGTTTACTGATGCTAGCTGATGTTCATTGAAAGAGTTTAGTTCTACATTAAAGAAAGATTTTATAAATTTAAGTAAAGCCCCCCCTCTTTATAGGAATAAAACATAGGTAATGTGCAAGAGCAGCAATGCGTATAGAAACCATTTAGGCATCCTCTCTTGTGACTATAGTAAAATAATTTATTTTTCGACCCTGTTGATAGGTGCACTTCATTACTGCTCTTTTCACCTCCTTACTCAGTAAGGCAAAGCCTATTTTTGAGATCTTTGTGCATGTTATTAACACTTCTGGTAGAAATCAGAACATAAAAAATAGTAAAGCAGGCCTGAAAGAGTAAAAGTTGTGCTACAATGATTCCAGACTTGGTGATGGCAGTGATGTAGCAGAGGTGGTGGGCATGTACCTAGGCTTTAACTGTCAAATCTTGGATTACATATTGACTTATCTTAGATAGCAGGGGCTGAAGTAACGTACTAGTGGGTTATATGTAAAGATTTCAACACATTATCATTTTAAAACAATATCCTGATTCTCCATTAAATCAAAGCTTTTTCTTCACAGTAAAGGAGATAATTAGCTAGTAATGTCAGGAAAAGGGTAATGTTGTGTCTTAGAAAACTTGGGCAGTTTGTATCCTTCATGGTTTAGGCCATAAAGACTGTGATTTTGAACAGCTGGTAACAGTATTGCTGGAAGGACTTTACACTGCTAATTAACAGCCTGAAGCTGTGGAACACTACTGCTGACTGGCTGTGACCTTTAAATTCTTGGTTGTTCTGTGACTCACTGGATCATGGCCTATTTACTCATCTCAAACTTCCAGTAAATATTACAATTCAGTGTTTGTTTTTATTCTTTCCCCTAGATGATAATTTGCACTTGAACACAGCTGATACAATGCAACAATAATGTTTGGTTAACTTTGCTCTTTAGTCTCTTTTTAAAGATGCCCTTAAATCAAACTTGTCATCTACTAATGTGTATCAGTATTCTTTGTAGTACTTATTTCTCCTGTTTTATAATAATAAAATGGAGGTAGAAAGGCAACTAAACTGATAAGAGGCAGGGGGGAGCTTGGCTATGAGGAAAGTTTAGAGGAACTGAATTTATTCTCTCTTGAGAGGAGGAGATTGAGGGGGGATATGATCAATATGTATAAATACATCAGTGTTTCATATAGTGAACTCGGTGTAGAGCTATTCACACTGAGGTCATCACAGAGGACAAGGGGGCACTCTTTACGTCTGGAGGAAAATAAATTTAATCTCCAAATACGGAAAGGTTTCTTCACAGTAAGAGCTGTGAAAATGTGGAATGGATTCCTTCAAGAGTTGGCTCTGGCCATCTCAGTAGATTGCTTTAAAAATGGCCTGGATTCTTTCTTGGATACACAGAATATAACTGGTTACTATTTATAGGTAAAGTTGATCCAGGGAATACATGATTGCCTCTCGGGGGATCAGGGAATACATGATTGCCTCTCGGGGGATCAGGAAAGAAATTTTTCCCCAGCAGGAGCAAATTAGATCATGCTTTGCTGGGTTTTTTGCCTTCCTCTGGATCAACTGTGGGTGTAGGATTATAACTTTTTTTTTTTTAATGGTTGAACTGGATGGACTTCTGTGTTTTTTTTTCAGCCAGACTAACTATGTAACCCAAGAAACTATTGTTTACAAAATTGTGCTTTGTATTCTGGTTGTTATATAAGTAATATAGAGTAAAATAGTGCATTCCAGGGTCTTTTTTAAATTGTATGTTCAGACAAGTTGTCTGTTTTTTCATTTTGGATTTAGTGGGGATGGGTTAGAACCCATGTTAGGTCTTTACTGCTATCCAGAGTTCCATTAAAAAGATATCCTATCATTTGCTTCCCCAGTGACATTGGTTTGACCAACAGCTGTCTGTGTCCCTGTTGGGGATTTTTAACCTTTTGACTGGTAAAAACTGTTGTCGCCAGGACACAATGTGATGGCAAATCTATCTGGTGCCTTGGATAGTAGTAAATACCTCTCTATTTCTTCCCTGTTCTATCCAAAACTGGGCTTTAAATATAAAATATAATGTTGAATCTCCTTGGTGAATTGTAGCTTCTCATGGTATGCTGTTAACTTCATCTATGCAGCAATGTTGACATTTGGTGACCATAGAACACTGAATATCCCACAGACACTTGTAATGAACACATTCTCCTTATGTTCTAGAGATCTTGGAAGTACCAGGGGCCTGTTCTTCCTCTCCATGTCAGAACAATGGCATATGTCAGGAAGTTGAGGGCACATACTTGTGTGAATGTCCTGCTGGATACACTGGTGTAAACTGTGACAACCGTGAGTATCTTCCCTATAATCACCATTTCCAGACTGTCCCTCTGGTAGCTGGAAAAAAAAATTGTTTATAGGGATCCTGTCAAGATAAAAGTGTTGGAGTTGCTGTAATTAACCTGTTTGGATTGAACACCCTTTTTTCACTACTTCATGAGTACCTGGTCTCGAACAAGTATTTGCATAGCGGGTATGGTAGCACAGTAGTCAAAATGATAAATAATCCTCCTTTTTTGGAATATGTGATGGAAAGAGATGTGAATACCTTATGTTTTATTGTTCTGTGCACTGAGGGAGGGCTTTTTGATCACTTTAGACCTTCTTACCATATATTGTATGGTTAAACAATCTCATTGGGTCCCAAACCCTACTCCATAGAAGATGTGGTTTCCATACATATCACTGAAACAGCTGTATGAAGTTTTTAATAAATGGTTTTATATTATTAGGTTATGTTTGCTTTGTACACCAGCAAGTCTGAATTTGCTCTGGCCACTCTCTTGAAATGAGGGATAATCCTCTTATTTTTGAGATATGTGATGGAACTAGACACATGAATAGCTTGTTTTAAGATGGCTTTATTGTGCAGCATACTGATAATAGTGAGGACGTTTTTGATTACTTTAGACCCATGTATGGTTAAACTGTCCCTTAGTAGGAGTCCTGACACTTTAATGATTGCATGCTTGTTCTGGGCCAGTGGCTCACATAGTAGTAAAGGAGTGATAAGGGTGATAGCCTTGAACCCTTAAAAAAATAATCAGAAATTATAACTCCCATTGCTAACTTCCATTTGTTTAGTTCTTTTCATCCTGGCATTAACTGAGCTCTGGTTCCATCGGTGTACCAGGGGTAAACTTATGGAAACCACAATCATCAGTCATCTGGTTAACTCTGATCTGTTCTTATAATAGTGGTTACCAAGGATCTGCCTCCATTAAAAATGTTTTCAACATGGGAAGTTGTGCACTAACCTTGGTTCAAGAATGTTATATGCATAGAATTTGTTACTTGCAATCCATTTAGAAAAGTGTTGTTGCGTCCACCTAAATGTGGGCCCTGAGCAGTTAGTAACAGCATTATGTGCATCATTTATTGGTACTATATATAATTTCACAAGCAACATTATCAAATATCAGCTTCATAAGGGAGGTTACTGTAGATCTACTCCACTAAAATTACAATACATCTGCTTATGACTGGGTAGACAATGCTGTCTTTGCAGTACTTCTGCCTAGTACTTCTGCCTAACAGTACCTTCAGGCATCTTTCGGTCATCAGTATTGGGTATAACAAACACAAAAAAAACCAAACAAACAAAAAAGAAAGGATTTTTCGCTAATTCATGGTCAATGATAACCTATTAATTATTACTGAATAAAATTAGTTCTGGTTTCTTGGGGTGCACATGAACTTATGGTATACACATAGGGGTTGATTTACTAAAACCGGAGAGTGAAAAATCTGTAAACATGAATATAAATTGGTGATACTTTTATCCATTATGCTGTAATTTATTGGCAATAGGGTGTTAGATCCATGAGATTTCCATAATAAAAACGTTTCCTGTTACTTATCCTCTTCTGCAATTTTGCATGTCACTGCCAGCAAGAGGATGAGTGCTTCAAATAAACAAAGAGTTGAATGAATGGGTATTTAATGTACTGGCATCTAGTAGGCTATTCTGCAAGTTGATCCCGACTGGACTTTATACTGAGTTGAATGAGAAGAGCAGCAATAGACATAATTAGGGATTTAGAGTCATTGTCTCAGATAATAATCATCCTTTTCAGATCCGGTACTATAGCACTGTTCAGAGATTTTATTATTTGCAGTATCTAATGTCTGCTACAGTGTCTGAAATCATTTTTGTACTGTTATTAGCTAAGCATATGCCTGCCATTGTAAGTCTGTGGTGACTCTCTAGTGATCTGCCTTTTCTCCTGAGTTTGCCCCAGATGTGTCCGATGGCTGTGCCTGCAGGAATGGGGGCCGATGTGCAGACGGAAACAGCACCTGTCACTGCCTACCAGGATACTTTGGTCTGCTTTGTGAATATGGTAAGTTTAACATGTATTCTTATTACTGGCACAACAGATCTACATGTGAATATGATATAGAAAATGTTAACTCAAAACAAAAATTCTTCTTGAAGTAGTATGAATTTACCTCTTAAAAAACTAATATAAAAAAGAGTTAAAATGTGAAAAAAAATTTATATTTTCAGACATGTGACTTCTAATGAAAGCTTCCATTCTTTGCCAAATCAAGTACATACAGTACATGTTCCAGGGACATTAAGTTGTACTTATTTGGTTTCAATGCAGCCGAGGTCACTGGCCTGGAACCTGTCTGAGGTCTGTTGCTTTGAGCATTGTAAAGAAACCCCCAATGGCTAAACAGCCTGTCCTGGAAGTGGTACACCAGCTCATGCCATACCCCCTGCACACATATAACAGGGTGCATCCAAAAGCATTAACCCACAAAAAACCCACAAGAAAGAAAGGATAAAGCACCTCAATGGCTAATGAACAGGATATATTTATTGGACGTAAAAAATGACAATGCACATCCCATACATTCCCGCCCAAGAAATCTCTATCTAGGACTGCATGATATTCTGCCAGCACAGATCTCCTGAGATCCATCTGGTGAGATTTTTCTGATTTACTGTTGCATTGAGTGATGGACTTATCTTACGGCCTTTCAATTGCAGGGTCAACCAGCTACCAATGTGTAGGCTGGATCTGTTCAGTGCCGACCATATGTACAGTGGGGCAAAAAAGTATTTAGTCAGCCACCAATTGTGCAAGTTCTCCCACTTAAAAAGATGAGAGGCCTGTAATTGGCATCATAGGTAGCCCTCAAGTATGAGAGACAAAATGAGAAAAAAAAATCCAAACAATCACATTGGCTGATTTGGAAAGAATTTATTTGCAAATTATGGTGGAAAATAAGTATTTGGTCACCTACAAACAAGCAAGATTTCTGGCTCTCACAGACCTGTACCTTCTTCTTTAAGAGGCTCCTCTGTCCTGCACTCATTACCTGTATCAATGGCACCTGTTTGAACTTGTTATCAGTATAAAAGACACCTGTCCACAACCTCAAACAGTCACACTCCAAACTCCACTATTGTGAAGACCAAAGAGCTGTTGAAGGACACCAGAAACAAAATTGTAGACCTGCACCAGGCTGGGAAGACTGAATCTGCAATAGGCAAGCAACTTGGTGTGAACAAATCAACTGTGGGAGCAAAAATTAGAAAATGGAAGACATACAAGACCACTGATAATCTCCCTCGATCTGGGGCTCCACGCAAGATCTCACCCCGTGGGGTCAAAATGATCACAAGAATGGTGAGCAAAAATCCCAGGACCACACGGGGGGACCTAGTGAATGACCTGCAGAGAGCTGGGGCCAATGTAACAAAGGCTACCATCAGTAACACACTACGCCGCCAGGGACCTGCAGTGCCAGACGTGTCCCCCTGCTTAAGCCAGTACATGTCCGGGCCCGTCTGAAGTTTGCTAGAGAGCATTTGGATGATCCAGAAGACGATAGGGAGAATGTCATATGGTCAGATGAAACCAAAATAGAACTGTTTGGTAGAAACACAACTCATCGTGTTTGGAGGAGAGAGAATGCTGAGTTGCATCCAAAGAACACCATACCTACTGTGAAGCATGGGGGTGGCAACATCATGCTTTGGGGCTGTTTCTCCGCAAAGGGACCAGGACGACTGATCCATGTACAGGACAGAATGAATGGGGCCATGTATCGTGAGATTTTGAGTGCAAACCTCCTTCCATCAGCAAGGGCATTGAAGATTAAATGTGGCTGGGTCTTCCAACATGGCAATAATCCCAAGCATACCGCCCGGGCAACGAAGGAGTGGCTTCGTAAGAAGCATTTCAAGGTCCTGGAGTGGCCTAGCCAGTCTCCAGATCTCAACCCCATAGAAAACCTTTGGAGGGAGTTGAAAGGCCGTGTTGCCCAGCGACAGCCCCAAAACATCACTGCTCTAGAGGAGATCTGCATGGAGGAATGGGCCAACATACCAGCAACAGTGTGTGCCAACCTTGTGAAGACTTACAGGAAACGTTTGACCTCTGTCATTGCCAACAAAGGATATATAACAAAGTATTGAGATGAACTTTTCATATTGACCAAATACTTATTTTCCACCATAATTTGCAAATAAATTCTTTCCAAATCAGCCAATGTGATTGTCTGGATTTTTTTTCTCATTTTGTCTCTCATAGTTGAGGTCTACCTATGATGCCAATTACAGGCCTCTCTCATCTTTTTAAGTGGGAGAACTTGCACAATTGGTGGCTGACTAAATATTTTTTGCCCCACTGTACTTACTGAAACTCTGATCCATGTCTTGTGAACACAGGAGAAACAGAGCACACCACAGACTGAGTTACATGAGAACTTTTATGTGGCATACAGTTGCCTTGCTGTTTTTTCTCCATTGGGATACTTTGTGGAACTGATATCATTGCTGGCTTATTGAGATCTGGTTTACAGCATATCTATAGCAGGATTTGACACTTGCTTATGTACTATATTGTTTGCAGCTTCATTTAGCAGGGTCTATAAGGAGGCTCCATCCGCACAGTGAGGGAGGACAGGGAGACGTGTGGAGGGCTGGCCCTTGTCACCCACATCTCTTTTTGAGATTTGGGGGGGGAGAGAAAGGGGGGTCTGCTGTGGGGGTTGAGGGTGTCCTTGGGGGTGGAGGGAGGGGATATTGTTGGGGTGGAGCTGTGCCTTCAGGAGGGGTTTTCTTTGGGGGTTTCCAATCAATATATCCTGTTCATTAGCCATTGGGGTGCTGTATCCTTTCTTTCTATATATTGCACCTTACCAGCCATTAGATGATTAGCCACTTATTTTACATCTCTATGAATAGTGTTCTTTTTGCGTCACTTGTTTTTTAATACACACAATATTATATACTTGGTTCTTTTAGGGAACAGCACAACACCCTGTTTTTATTTGTTTTAGTGGATATGTGTCTTTATATCAGTGAGTGCTGCTGTCCTAATTAATATTATTTATAATCATCATTTTTTTTTATATATAAATTGTGTCACAATCACAATATCTGTTTGTTTGGTAAAATTGTTATTTCACATAATTGTATGCTGATACTCACCCATATAACATTGAGCGTAGATATTTTTTTTTCTCAGAATCTAATGTTTGCCTGCCCAGATATGTTGAAGAAAGACAATTTCTATGGGGTTTATTTCTTTTTTTCACATAACTGTACAGGGATCATCTGATGCATATAGCCACCTTGAGGCTACCGAAACATAAAAGCTGTCTCCTTCCACCCTCCTTTTTAAATGTTTTATTTCAGAGGTGACATCACTTCCATGCAGCATGGGCTCTCAGTGTCCTGATGGTGGATCATGCATGGAGTATGGAGGCAGTTACCGGTGCGTGTGTCACACAGATTATATCATCAGTAACCACAGTAAGTGTGTGTATGAGTGTGTGTGGGGCAGCAAGCTGTACTTTACCTTTTAATAGAAGTATGTTGCTAGTCATTGTATTAACAAAACCCTATACGTTTCCACTCATACAATAGACCCCCTAAATAATATCTGTGGTCTTAGGTTTATGTGAATACTTCTGCCATATATTGTGAGTTTGAATATATTGATTGTTTTTTGTAAACTGTCTTTCATTTCACAGAAGATTTAAATGATCTTATACAAACATTTAAAAGAAATATTTTATTGCAACACTTAAACCTAATGTGGGAAAGAAAGAAAAATGTCCTGAAGAATCTCTTTGAAGCTTTATGCTTGGCACAATAATCCTGTAGCTAGGCAAAGAACTTTTAGCATACAGTTGTGTTCAAAATAATAGCAGTCAGACATCACTAACCTGATCAATCACTGTTTTTGGTAGAAATGATATTTCTACATGGCAAATAATTTACTAGCAGGTGTAGTAGAGTAATAGAAATCCAACAGACCCAACAGTCATGACATGCATGCTGCTGATTCTGTGTAATTGAATCACTAATTGAAAGGGGCATGTTCAAAATAATAGCAGTGTGGAGTTCTATTAGTGAGGTCATTCATTCTTTGAAAAACAGGTGGCAATTATTATTATTATTATTATTATACAGTATTTATATAGCGCCAACGGGTTTGCTCAGCGCTGTACAATAGCAAGGGGGACAGAACATGAGACAAGACAGAAACAATACAATACACGAGGGGTTCGAGGGCCCTGCTCTTTCGAGCTTACAATTAATGCCCTTATTTAAGGAAGGAAGGCAGCAAATGTTGTACATGCTGGTTACAGTGCATTTCTCTCTGAAATTCTGAGGAAAATGGGTTGTTCCAGACATTGTTCATAAGAACAGCGTACCTTGATTAAAAAGTTGATTGGAGAGGGGAAAACATATAAAGAAGTGCAGAAAATGATAGGCTGCTCAGCTAAAATGATCGCAAATGCTTTAAAATGGCAACCAAAACCTGAAAGACGTGAAAGAAAGCAAAAAACTACCATTCGAACGGATAGAAGAATCGCCAAAATGGCAAGGACTCAGCCAACAATCAGCTCCAGGAAGATCAAAGAAGGTCTAAAGTTACCTGTGAGTACTGTTACAATTAGAAGACGCCTATGTGAAGCCAAGCTATCTGCAAGAAACCCCAGCAAAGTCCCACTGTTGAAAAAAAGACGTGCTGAAGAGGTTACAATTTGCCAAAGAGCACATTGACTGGCCTAAAGAGAAATGGCACAACATTTGTGGACTGATGAAAGTAAGATTGTTCTTTTTGGCCGGAGACAGTTTGTCAGACGACCCCCAAACACTGACTCAAGTCACAGTACACTCTGAAGACAGTGAAGCATGGTTGCGCAAGCATCATGATATGGGGATGTTTCTCATACTACAGTGTTGGGCCTATTTATCGCATACCAGGGATCATGGATCAGTTTGAATACATCAGGATACTTGAAGAGGTCATGCTGCCTTATGCTGAAGAGGAAATGCCCTTGAAATGGGTGTTCCAACAAGACAACGACCCCAAACACACCAGTAAACGTGCAACATCTTGGTTCCAGACCAACAACATTGACGTTATGGAGTGGCCAGCCCAATCCCCGGATTTTAATCCAATAGAAAACTTGTGGGGTGACATCAAAAATGCAGTTTCTGAGGCAAAACCAAGAAATAGAGAAGAACTGTGGCCTGTAGTCCAATCATCCTGGGCTGGAATACCTGTTCACAGGTGCCAGAAGTTGGTTGACTCCATGCAACACAGATGTACAGCAGTTCTCAGAAACAGTGCTTATACAACTAAATATTCATTAAGTGATTCAAAGGAAAGCAAAATCTTCAAACATTTTTCAGTTTATATAGTGAATGTTTGAGTTTGTAAAGAAGAATACAAACACTGCTATTTTTTTGAACAGTCTAATATTCACTTTTCTTCAATTTTTTTAGAGGAACAACACAAATTTGATATATTTTTCTTCATGTTTGATTTGGAATAGAATGTGTAATGTTCCCAATGCATTTGTGTGTATGGAAATAAAAGCTATTAGAAGAATTTTGAGCTTTATTCACTTTTTTCAACACACTGCTATTATTTTGAACACAACTGTATGTCCTGAAATTCCAAGCTGTAATATGCAGGAGTACATACACTGAACACACTTTGGGCTTTGGAGGCAAGCAAACTTTGTGAGATTCCACCTTAAGGGATTTCTGCAGTTACAGGTGTCTTCATTGCATACAAGATTTTGGGCCACAGAAACCTTTCATCAGGCATAACAATATGCATACAGTTAGAAAGTTATTTTTCCTGCTCTATGCAAAGATGCTGTAAATTAATTCATTGACAGTCCATAAGTTCCAACATAAAACTATATGTGCTTTTAAATTCAGATTGTCAACCTTTTGTGATTTTGATAAATCAATGTGAGAGCTGTGCATCCATCTCTCTGCGCATAGAAACCACTATGCTTTAAAACGTAACTTTTATTCAATACACAGCTAAAAATAATGTATGTTAGCAAAAATGTAAAAATCATTAAACTGCAGGTGGATGCAGGGGGTAGAAAGTCTGGTAGGGGTATTCAAAATTAGTTTTCCATGAAGACATAAATTCCCGTACTTAGGTCCAAAAACTGGTCATAATAATCAGTGCCTCCCACACCAGACCATCTTTCAATTCCACCCTGTGTTCCCTCAACATATATTTATGCGATTTCCAGAGAAATCATCCCATGAATAATTTAATTCTAGAAAATCAGACAAATTTATTGGTTTATACTTTTTGTAATTTTGGTTGAAATTGTACTCTGTAAGTCTTACTGTGTGTGTGTCTGTATAGTGTATGTGTATTGCCAAAGGTATTGGGACAACCCTCCAAATAATTGGATTCAGGTGTTCCAATCACCTCCATGACCACAGGTGTATAAAATCAAGCACCTAGGTATGCAGACTGCTTCTACAAACATTTGTGAAAAAATGGATCCCTCTCAGGAGCTCAGTGAATTCAAGCATGGTACTGTGTTAGGTTGCCACCTGTGCAATAAGTCCATTCATGAAATTTCCTTGCTACTAAATATTCCAAAGTGGAAGCAACTGGGAACAACAGCAACTCAGTCATAAAGTGGTAGGCCATGTAAAATGACAGAGCGAGTTCTACACAGAGTCCTGACCTTAACCTGATAGAACACCTTTGCGATGCATTAGAGTGGAGACTGTGAGCCAGGCCTTCTTGTCTGACATCAGTGTTTGACCTCACAAATGCTCTTTTAGAAGAATGGTCAAACATTCCCATAGACACACTCCTAAACCTTGTGGACAGCCTTCCCAGAAGAGTTGAAGCTGTTATAGTTGCAATGGGTGGGCTGACTTAATATTTAACCCTACAGACTACGATTGGGATGCCATCAAAGTTCATGTGCATGTAAAGGCAGGCATCCCAATACTTTTGGCTATATACTGTAGCGTGTGTGTGTATATAAAATGATGCTCAACTAAGGTCTTTTTAGCCTGAATAATTCCATGCAATAAATTACACTTAATATTATTCCTGAGCATCAGCACCAAAATACACCACTCCTACACTGAGCACCAAGACCTTGACTCTAAAAACCACCTCCATCATTTGCATAGGTACCAAAACTAACTATTCTCCAGTTCTTATCACAGCTGTTTTTCTGCTTACTACCTTTGATCTCTTTTAGAATACAATTTCAATGTAATTAGGTATTTTTGAGTAAAGTATTTCAATCAGTTTGGTCACTGCCTGCTATTGTCCACTCCAGCAATGCCTTCTCCCTGTGACTCTGACCCTTGCTTGAATGGTGGGAGATGTGAATCACACGAAGACACATTTTCCTGTGTGTGCCTGCGAGGCTTTTATGGAAGAACATGTGAAAAAGGTGAGCTACTTGCATGTTTTTCTGGACTGGAAACATTATAGGACACACACTTGTACTATAAAAGGCAAGCATATTTATAAAGTAGACATGGCTGCTGACTGATTTGTTACTCAATAAGAAAGACCTAGGATCTTTTGGCTTAAAACAATTTAAGACTGGACAGGCGGTCCCTTTAAGTACATATTTATACATGTTGGGTACGCTATGAATTTCTGGAATGCTATTTTTCTCAGAGCAACCAGCACAAGCTGTTCCTTTGTATTGATGAGGATTTATTTAATCTATTATATATTGAAAATTGTTCTATAATTTCATATTTTGAAAATGATTCATTATGTTGTACATATATTTAATATGTAGATTCTTTAAATGGTATATATTACAAATATGTACACTTTCTACACCGGAAAATTCCCAGTGGCTCAGGAGCTATATGTGTCTCTCCACCACCTTTGGCTTGACTCCGAGCAGCCTCTCACTTGCTGTCATATCTCTTTATTTTAACATTTGCTGCATGATATGCCAGTGGCTCAGGAGCTATATGTGTCTCTCCACCACCTTTGGCTTGACTCCGAGCAGCCTCTCACTTGCTGTCATATCTCTTTATTTCAACATTTGCTGCATGATATGCTGTATGTAGCCAAAGCAGCATTCCATCATACATAACAGCTTAATACAATTTAAATATTATAAAACACAAATGTTTGAGAATTTTTAAAAACTTTTTTTGTGGTTCACAGGCTAATAAAATATGGAGACATTTAGCACAGGGTTTTATTTTCCAGCAAATAGAAGGGAGCTGAAGGATGTATGGAATGAAAATTGCAAGTTTGTCTTTTGTATGTAAATGGTTTGAAGGGATTTTTCATTCTACCCCCAATTTCCATGGTTCACATATCTCAAGGTCAAATGCAATGTGTCATATTTTCTCTCCTGTATTTTTGTCTCCTTTCTCTCTCAGTAAAGCCAGCTCTGTGCAGCCTGTTTCCTTGCCGAAATGGAGGAACATGTAGGGAAGTCAGTGAGGAGTATTACTGTGTTTGTCCTTATCCATTTACTGGGAAACACTGTGAAACAGGTGAGCAAAGGATATTTCAAACAAAAAATAAGTAGAGGCACATTTTTAGTAGTACAAGTGCTTGCTTTATTCATACTGTTTGCCTTTTTATATAATATAGTTAACAGATCTGCTTTTTAATTTAGGCATGAGAGGCCCCTGTTCATCAGGTCCTTGTCACAATGGCGGCACGTGTTTCCATTATCTTGGCAAATACAAGTGTGATTGCCCACCTCACTTCTCTGGAAGGCACTGTGAGAAAGGTAAATGGAAAATTGGCATGGTATCTTTGTATGTCTGTGAGCTATGAGAGTGTCTTGTGGTGCCACTGCAAGCTGGATAGCAAGATAAGAATCACTCCCCCAGCAAGGAAAGGGAACAGGTGTCCCAGAGTAATTTCCAGTATAACTGATAAGAGATAAAGGTGGACACCGCTCAACTGACCCCAGGAGTCAGACGCATGGATGGTCTGGCTTGGCCTCAGCTACCACTCCTGCCACGCCCCCTAACGAGTTTCACCCCGCCCACCAGAGGCTTGATCACAGCCCTGGTGGGCTGGCGAAACGTATCAGAGGGTGTGGCCAGAACAGTGGCTGAGGCCAAGCCAAACCATCTATGCGTCTGACTCCTGGGGTTGGTTAAGCAGTGTCCACCTTTATCTCCTATCATCTTTGCATGTTTGCCACCCTAAGATTGATTTGATTGAGGTTGTTTTGAGATCTCAAAATGCTTTTCTTTGGTAACATGAAATGTAGTGTCAAAGTACTTTCAGCACAAGATAATGTAAGGCACAATTGTGTTAAGATTTATGGTACATTTAGGCAGGTTATGTTACTGAAATCAAGAAATAGTCAAGGGTTCTATTCACTGTATACAGTATGTATTCCGTTTTCATATTACATTACTTTCTAAAGAGTTATGTCTAATTATATGTAGTTTCCATTGTCAGTCAATGTATGCAAGACGATAATCACAATAATGCAGCTGCTGATGAAGTCTGCATGAGCAGGAGAGCGGGGAAGGAAGAATCACTAGAGCAAAAGAATGGGTAGAGTGCTTTCTGTACCACCCCTGTTTTTCTGTTTTAATGAGCTTTATCAAAGTAGACCAAAAGTAATTTTGAGAACTAGCCTATTTCTCTCTCTCTTCTCTAGTGTTTTATGAATCACCCATACTTGCACTTACCAAATAGTGGTTCTGGGCTTGCTTTGTTGTCACTGTTGTTACAAAGAAGATTGTCTCCCATGGGACTTTAGTGCAGCTAAACACGTAAACATAAATGTATAAAAAAAGATTTTATTCATACAAATTCCATTAAAAACCATAACAATAAAATTGTAATAATTAGGTTCTGACATTCAACCTGTTTGTAATTTGAAAAACAAACAGTCAAACTTTTTTGTCTTTTCAATTTACACTGCTCAAAAAAAAATGAAAGGAACGCTTTGAAAACACATCAGATCTCAATAGGGGAAAATATCATGCTGGATATTTATACTTATATGGACTGGGTAATGTGTAAGGTATGTAAGGATACCCCATCATTTGATGGAAGAGAAAATTATCAACCTACAGAGGACTGAATTCAAAGGCACCCCGGAAATCAAAGTGAACAAATGATGCAGCAGGCTAGTCCATTTTGCTGAAATTTCATTGCAGGAATCAGAATGGTACTCAGTAGTTTGTATAGCCCCCACATGCTTGTATGCATGCCTGACAACGTCGGGGCATGCTCCTAATGAGACGATGGATGGTGTCCTGAGGTGTTTCCTCCCAGATCTGGACCAGGGCATCACTGAGCTCCTGGACAGTCTGAGGTGCATCCTGGCAGCATCAGTAGGACCGAAACATGTTCTATTGGATTTAGATCAGGTGAGCATGGAAGCCATTCAGTGTTATGAATTCCTTCATCCTCCAGGAACTGCCTGCATACTCTCGCCACATGAGGCCGGGCATTGTCGTGCACCAGGAGGAACCCGGGACCCACTGCACCAGCGTAGGGTCTGACAATGGGTCCAAGGATTTCATCTCAATACCTTATGGCAGTCAGGGTGCCATTGAATAGCCTGTAGAGGTCTGTGCATCCTCACATGGATATGCATCCCCAGACCATCATGGACCCACCACCAATTTGGTCATGCTGAACGATGTTACAGGCAGCATAATGTTCTCCACGGCTTCTCCAGACCCTTTCATGTGTGTCACATGTGCTCAGGGTTAACCTACTCTCATCTGTGAAAAGCACAGGGTGCCAGTGGCGGACCTGTCAATTCTGGTGTTCAATGGCAAATTCCAATCAAATTCTTTGGTGCTTGGCAGTGAGCACAGAGCCCACTAGAGGGCATTGTGCCCTCAGACCACCCTCCTGAAGTCTGTTTCTGGTTGTTTGTAACCATTGAGAAGAATCCTCTCCTTACAGATAGCTAAAAATATCATTGGTGCCAGTGGGAAGTTATCTGAATGTCAGAAATTGCAACCCTTAGCAACCTGTGGAAGAAACCTAAGGTTCCACTGAAACCCTGGTTGAGAAAGGTTAATATAGACAAGTGTTTACACATTTGTGCCATGCAGTAAAAGTTTTTTTTTTTTTTCCACCAAGTAGGCAAAATGTTTTATTGAATGACCCCCCCCCCCCCCCCCCCCCCCAGAAGATTACAGTAAAAAGCATTGAGTCATAATACAGAAATTGAACAGGAATGGTTACATACAACCAAACAGACGAAAAAAAGAAGAAACACCCCCCCTGGTGACCATGTACATACAATGCTGATTGTAGCACAGTAGTGGAAACCCACAATAAAAATGTGTTTGCTGTAAACAACACTAATCAGCACATCCCCATAAAGAAAAGCTATGGCTACCCTGCCTTAATAAAGATACATTGTGCGGGAGAAATACAGAGATCTGTACGGATGATAACAAAAAGCAAGTTCATACCCAATATGTAAAGCCAAACCAAACTTTCACTATTTAAGTACAGGTATCAGCAGATTGCAGCCAACGATCCCAAACTTTATTATATCTGGCAGGGCAACCTCTATTAATATATATCAATTTCTTTAAAGGGAGAGTATTATTAATATCTGCCATCCACTCCTCCAGTGTAGTAGGAAGCGCCTGCATCCAGTGGCAGGCTACCAATTTCCTGACACTAAACAAAGTTTCATGTAAATAAGAAGTCAAGTATTTATCACCATCTGGATCAGGCAAAATTCCCAATAAACAGGATTTAGGGGATCACATGCAATCATGTAGGAACTGGAATGCCTGGGTCCAAAATACCACTTGCCCACGTTAAGTGCCAGAGAAGATGTGCAAATGTGCCCGATGATATATGACATTTAGGGTAATAAGAATATCTGTCAATTCGTGCAAGGTGAGTTCATGTTAAATACGCCCTGTGTATTATATAGATTTGGGTAAGGTGATCAGATATTTTAGTGAGACCTTCTTACAGGAGTCTAGTACCTCTTCCCATTCCTCATCCTCAATGACCCCTATGTAAGTCTCCCATTTGGGTTTAAAAGAATAGGCCAAATCAGAGGCCACCGTGGTGAGAGGTTTGTATAGGATGGAAATCAATTTTTGGGGTTCTTCCCCATACACCACATCTAGTATAGAGAATGAGGAAAGGGCTGGGAAGTTGTCAGTAAATTAAGCCGGTAAAGCATGCCGTACCGGAAGGTAGTGGAATAGCATATAATTTGGAAGGGAGATTTCTTGTTTCAGTACCTCAAACGTTTTTAATACCCCATTCGATTGTACATGAAAGAGAAGGTATATTCCTTTAGAGAACCAAAGTTCATGGTCAGGAATAGTTGGGAGTTCAGGCAATAACCTGTTGGACCAACCAAAGAGGAGTGTCCGCATGAAAATGTGAAGCATGCATCTTAGAGATGGATAGTTCCCAGACATGTTTATACTGAAAGACCATCCCTTTATTAGAGGATTGCATAGCAGATCCCCTAACACCCCTGATCTCACAGAATGAGTGCGCCCTTGTTGGAATTTCAGGTTCAGAGACTAGAACAGTAAATCTTTTCCTGTCCGTTTTTATCAATGTGATAGAGATGGGAAAGTTGAGCTGCTAGATAATATAATCCAAAGTGCGGTAAGGCCATACCTCCCAGGGAGTTTGAAGTCTTAAGTATACACCATGCCAACTTGTGGCGACTGACACCCCAGGTAAAGGATTTCAAAATCGTATCCATAGTTACAAAATATCTAAGTGGAATATAAACTGGGGAATACCATAGTACACAGAGTATTTTGGCCAACAGAACCATCTTTACCAATCCAATTCTACCTATAACTCCTAACAGCAGTCTAGCCCAAATTTGGGATTTGACCTTAAGAAGAGAAAATAGGGGCTCCACATTCAGGGCAATGTGTTCAGCAGGTGACCTAGAACCAGTATTCTTAGATATTTGATAGTATTAACCCGCTGCAATGGCAAGGAGGCCTGATAAACTGAGGGGGGGAGGTGCTTATAGGAAGAATATGAGATTTGTCCCAGTTGATTTTCAAACTGGAAAAGTTTCCAAATGGTTTTATGAGGTCTAGGATCTGCAAAAGATACGGTCCAGAATCTACCAAGTAAAGTATCATATCATCAGCATAAAGTCCACACACCCTAGGAGTAGAGTGAATTATTATGGTCAATGGTTCAGCCAGTATAGTGTATAATAAAGTTGAAGGAGGGAGGAGCCTGAACATAACACTGAACGGGAGCTCGATGTGAGAGCTCCCGGGTAACAGACACCTCCATCGTCCCACCGTGAAAGGAAATTGAAAGGAAAAAATAGGAGTGTAGGAGACTACACATTTTACTCTCATGCACACGAGATGTATTCAAGACTGGATTACATACTGTTGGACCATAGACTTATTGCGTCTCTGGTTAAAGTAAACATTGAAGTCATGTCTATCTCTGATCATGCCCCGTCACAATGCAATTACTTTGGGGAAATGAGCAGAGGGGAGGAAAATTATGGAGGTTGAATGAGTCACTTCTCCAGGATCAAGAGACAGACCGGAAAATTAAGAAGGAAATAGAGCAATTCTTTGCAGAAAATGACTCTGAGGAAGTGTCGATAGCTACGGTGTGAGAAGCTCATAAGGTCTATATCAGAGGAATTTTAATAGCGATAGGAGCAAAAAAGAAGAGGGAAAGAAGAGAAAAAATAAACACACTTTTTAGTGAACTCTGTGACTTAGAGCTGACACATAAAAATAAAGTAACACAAGAGATTACGCAGAAGATAATAAATAAAAGAGAAGAACTAAATGATTTCCTGGAAGAAGAGAAGAGGAGAGTGTTTAATAAAATGATAAGTGAGAGATATAGATGGGGAGATAAACCAAGAAAGTACTTACTAAGGGCTCAGAGGAAAAAAAAAAATCTAGGAACTATATAGAGAAAATAAGAGATAATAAAGGAGAATTAATAAATTCAACCAAAGATATAGTAAAAGTGTTTAAAGAATATTATAATAAGTTATATAATATTAAGCCTCAGGTTACCATAGGAGAAGAAGAAGTAAGAAAAACAGATAGAAGACAGGCATATTTTAAAAACAGCAATAACTCAGGAAGAAATACACCTAGCATTAAAAAGCACTGTAGTAGGGAATAGTCCAGGACCCGATGGGTATACAGTGAGATATTATAAAAAATATGAAGAGATATTACTACCTAAACTGAGAATATATATGAATGCTTTAGGAGGAGAGATGGAAATGAGGAGGAAATCCCTGCAAGCTCATGTAGTCCTCATACGAAATGAAGGCAAAGACGAAATGTGAAAGTTTAATGTTTAAATGAAATGTGAAGGTTAATGTTTCCACCATACAGAGGAGAATGAGGGCTTGTTATAGAGATATATTATTAGAATATATATATATATATATATATATATATATAGAATATACACATTTGTATATATAGAATATACACATTTGTATACTGTGCACCAGCTCACTCTAACATTACACTATTTGTCATTTATTTGATTGTCATTCTGAGCACTTAAGAACATGTTTGATAAACACCAATTATGTTTGAGATCATTCTGACACTATTGCATTACGATTGCTTTATAGCAGAGTTGGACTGTGGACCTCCAGAACAAGTGAAATATGCCCGGGAGGTGGTGACATCAACATGGCCAGGTGGTATAGCTGAATATCATTGTGATGATGGCTACATAATGAACACACCAAACAACACTCGTGTTTGCAGTGAAGATGGAATGTGGAGTGAGGCACCGCAGTGTGAAGGTAGGAGATTATCCATGTTGAGGACCCAGAGAGACTGAACAAAGCACACATGGTACTGTACTAAAGTTTGTACCTCTTCCTTGTGATTTAGAAATTGATGAGTGTGAATCACAGCCATGTCAAAATGGTGCAGTGTGCAAGGATCGCATTTCTCATTTCCTGTGTGAATGCCCAGAAGGATATATCGGTAAACACTGCGAATTAGGTAAGCACTGTCCCCCTTGCTACTGTACAGCACTGAGCATACCCTTTGGCGCTATGTAAATACTGTATAATAATAATAATAATAAGCACTAATCTGGCAATAAAATTATATTGTTAGTGAGCTTCACATTATAATTTATTAAGTTCACCTTTAAACAAAAAACAATAAATGCACAATTTTTGCAGGTAAAAAAAATGTGCATTTATTATTTTTTTTATTGCAGGAGCCTGCAAACAAGTGCACCAGCGATCAGCAGATTGCTGGTGCCATGCAGGTCTCCTGCAGATCTGTCTGTCAGGGATCTCTCCGATCCCCGCCGCGATGGTCCCGGCGCAGGCGCAGTGCACCGCCCTGTGCAGGGACACGGGCACTAGGTCCGGGCCGGCCGCGGCGTTCGAGTTCGCGCATGCGCAGTAGAAGCCGCGGCCGCCCGCTGGGCACCAATGGCAGCGCAGGGCGGGATATTTAAATGGCCCTGAGCTGTCATTCAGTGCCTTCTGGTCTTCCCTGCATCCTGTGAACCTGTGAACCTGTGAATTGTAAGTTGTGACCCGGATTGTACCTGACCTTGCTGTTTTCTCCTATCCTGACCCTTGCTTTGCCTGACCTCTCTCTTGAATGCCCCTGATTGGATTTGACCTGCTGTTGCTGACCTGGCGTGTGACCCGACCATTCTATGCCCGCTGCCTTGTACCTTGCCGTCCTCTCTGTTACCGACCCGGCCCGTCTGACCTTGCTCATCCATCCATCCATCCCTTGCAGTGGGGTCTTCTGACCTCCTCACATCAGACTCTTCCCCGCGGGAGCCCTTGGCGCATTTACCACTACCACTGCCGGACGCACCCAGTAGCCACGACCTGGTCTCGGGGGGCTCCAAGTCCATCCCCACCATCAGGGGCCCTGGTGAACAAGCACCCTGGGACTTAGATTCCGTGCGCTGGGGACGCCTATTCAGTGGAGTGCTAGTGGTACCGCCAGGCGGTCCCTTACACTGTCCATATACCTGCTTGCCCTTATGGGATGTACAGGCAAGCAGATGTAATGACAGGAAGGCTTAATTAACTACTATAGCGCTTCACAGCAGCATGGTGGTTCATTGAGAAAAACAAGTTGACAGCCGCTAAGGCTGTCGGGACTTGTAGTTTCTTATTCACATGGATGTAACATGTTATGAAAGGTGAAATTATCCTTTAACTGTAGTGTATTTATGATATAATGGAAATGTGAGAAAGTTATTGCCCACTTTCAGTGGTTGTAAAGGCTCAAGGTTTTTCACCTTCATGTATTCTATGAATGAAGGCAAAAAAAACCTACTGTGCGCAGCAGCTCCCCCAGCCCCACCCTAATACTTGCCTGAGCCCCATCGCAATCCAGCAATGTGCACGAGAGCCTTGACCCTCCGTGAATTCTCCCTCTTCATTGGTTAAGACTGTCAATCATATCCAGTCAGCCAATGAGGAGAGAAAGAGGGGGTGGGGCCAAACCATGGCTCTGTGTGTGATTGGACATGCAGAGCAGCGGCTAGGGAGTGAGCCTGATTATGTACCCACTTTGCAAGCTGTTTTGCTCTAGGGGCACTTGGCAGGAGAAAAGGGGCAGGGGCGCCGGCGGAGGGGCCTGAAAAGAGTTGGATCGCTGCTGTTCTCTGTGCAAAACCACTGCACAGAGCAGGTAAGTATAACATGTTTTTTTTTAAATTGTGTGTCTTTAATATCACTTTAAAGCACAACACTTGGGTTGATTTATTAGTGAATACAGAAACGTTCCAGGTAGTTCAGCCAATCATATTCCAGATCTATAATTTCTAGTTTTTTTTTTTTTCTTTTTTTTCTATGGTTGAACTGGATGGACTTTTGTCTTTTTTCAGCAAGACTAACTATGTAACTAAGTGCAGGTTAAACAACAAAGCCTCAAACGTAGAGCATACTATGGGCAACACATATTTTCCCTCCAGTTTTTTTACTCATGTTAGACAACTTTGTGGTGTACGTCCCTAGCGTGATACCTGAGGAAGTGGAACTTTAGCATTGATGTTGGGTTTGATGGCAGTATTCATTGTCCTAATGAAAGATGTGTTTGGTGAAGCAACACATATGACACATATGCACAAAGGTAAGGAAGGTTGATGTTGTCTAACTGACACTGTAATACTGGTTTTGAATAAAGTGTTGTATACACAAAAAGTGTGTTTGAAGATGGTCCTTTAACACCTAAACACAATTGCTTGATGTAGCCTTTGTATATACTTTGGCATTAAAACACATAGATGTAAATATTTGCACAATGGTCATTTGCAGTGTTGCCTTGCTGCAACGAGGTCTTGAGTTCAGTTAATGAAGTTTGTATATTTTCATTGTGTATGTAATAGGTATCTTTCCCGTGCTGTAATTTTCTATCTCATCCATTGAGGGACATCTGTCACATCGGGGTTATACTGCCTCCTACAGGAGGACTGGACACTGGAAAACAACAAACTGTAGGCCAGCCCAGGATTTCCCCTCCTACTAACAGAATGCCAGTTTTTTGCCTTTGTCCTAGGAGGATGTTTTTTTCAGGTCTGCAGTTAGATAGACCAGTCTATAATTTTTTCAGCATTTTTTTCTTCATTTGTTTTTTTAATTCATTTTTCTTCAACCAAGACTCCTTTACACCTTTGTTAGAGCTAGTCTCTACAGTTGCAGCTATCCGTCACCTAGCTTTTGGAGTGCTGTGACCGGACCTCACTGGGTTCGATGTTGCAATTGACCCTCAGGCACTGAGCTCTATGTAAGGCACTTCCAGACCCCATTCTGGTAACATGTTATATGTGGAACGATTTCCAGAACCATTCAGCACTTGTACTGTCTCTGATGACTCACTCTGTGAGATCAGTGTTAAAAAGGTTAGCACTGAGGGACTGAGCGCTGATGTCATATGCTGAGTGGGTTGTTGTGTGCTTTCCTGCCATTTGTCAAGTAGGAGGAATCTACTAACTGCTGCTTTCACTTTGCAAATAACCACATGGAACTTTGATCATCATTCCGTTCTTACTACCCACCTGTAGTGATTTTGGTCACCACCAGCCATATGACCATTATCTGCTGCCAGCTGTCAAAGTTTCTTTACTGCTATGTGGTTGCAACATATATGTTTCTGGGTACAGGGGACATTCCTGCTCTTCGAGTCCTCCCTAGCTCATCCTAGGTTGAACAGTGTCCAACCTGATCACTCTTCTTTTTCTCGAAGAGAACATTTTTCTCTTTTGAGGTTTGGTATCCACCAACACTACAATCCATTCTTTTTTTCAAGGGAATTTTTGGCTTTTGTGGTTAGCTTGGATGTGTACCTACAGGTCTCCTTCTGTCCAGTGCTCTGAGTTCTCAGTCTCACCCCTGCATCCTCAGGGTGCTGGCCCCAGTGTTAGCTCTGTTGCATTCCCATGGCAGTCATAATGTGGGATAGTCAATCTTCTGTGGAGGAAACAGTCAATGCAGGCTCAACAAGTCTATAAATCTCCAGATGATTCAACACTCTGGTTGGAGACTGAATCTTCAGAAATCAGAGATAGGATAATTCCACTGTCTTCAGAAACGTTAGACCAGAATGTTTGTTTACTAAGAAATGTGTGTCCTTGTTCCTCAGTCCAGGAGTTGCCCATATCTCAGGTGTTACCCATCTCTCAGGTGTTGCATGAGTTTCATAGTTCTGTAGGTGACCCTCTTGGTGGCAGCCCCTTTTCTCCACTCTCCAGACTGTCTCAATACTACACTCTGTTGTTGTGGGTTAAGTTGGTTGTGATTCTAAGCAGATTAAATTATCTGCCCATGAGGACCAGATAGTACCTGGACTGGTGGATCAGTCTTCCAGCTCTGGGAAGTCCTCCATTCCTACTTTCTGGGAGATCCTCTCATCTGAGAATTCTCATCTCTCTCTGTTTACATCCTAGAGTTTCGGGAACTGTGATTCCTTCTATGTCATTGGATCATCTCCCAAGCGGATCACCTGTTCTGAATCCAGCAGAACCACACCATATCACTAATGTGCTTCAACATTTGAGTAGTAACAGGTAATCCTGCTGTGACAGGTCAAGTAGTTGGTATCCTGACATGGGCAGAACTTCACGTTCTAGTTTTAGGTATTGTGCTCATCTCAGGTGTGGGCAACTGGTAGACAGGCCTCCCCAGTGGGTTACAACTGGAAATGGGAGAGCAGTCCATACAGGCTTGTGCATTCCAAGTGTTGTAGGTGGATGAGGCTGGATGCAGACTCCCTGATATCCTGGTTCAATTGCTGGCTGAACAGGTTTGTCTCCAGGTGCAGGAATCCTCTGTTGGTTACAGTATTTGCTCTGTAGACCCTGTGGAATTCCAAGATTTAGGCCTTTTCTTCTGTAACGCTTCTTCATCATCTGCTTCCGTGGTGAAGGACTTTCTCGTGATCTTCCTCACTCAGGATTAATCCAGGCACATGTACTTTGCCATCCTGGTGAGGTTCCTGACTATTGATCCTTTGACTCCTTGACTCCTTTAACAGATTGGTGGATTTTAGGATTCTAGTGCATATTTAAATCTGTAAAATTTTTGAAGCTTTTGATTAAGAAGGCTATTCCAGCAAGGTCTTTCATGGGACCCCAGGGGAATCTTTCTTACTTGTAGAGAGGATTGGGCTTGAACTCAGCTCAGGTCTAGTCCTTTACTTTCTTATTTTACAGTTGCAAGAAAAAGTATGTGAACCCCTTGGGATTATGTGGAGTTTTGCATGAATTGGGCATAAAATGTGCTCTGAACGTCATCTAAGTCACAACAATAGAAGAACACAGTCTGCTGAACATAATACTACACAAACATTAGATGTTACCATGGTTTAATTGCGCATAACATGTAAACATTCACAGTGCAGGGAGGAAAAAGTATGTGAACCTTTGGACTTGATAACTGGTTGACCCTCCTTTGGCAGCAATAACTTCAACCAAACATTTCCTGTAGTTGCAGATCAGACCTGCACAACGATCTGGAGTAATT